CCGCATCTTGTTGGCAGCCCACCGGCTGGATCCTCCCTCATTCTCTGGGCATTGACTGAACTTGAAAACCAGATGTTCTTGCCGCAGATGCCCTAACCGCTGCTACCCCTGCCTGGTTATTTAATTATGTTATTTTTGAGTTATCCTACTATCTCTCTGGTCTTGACTACTGGGTCCTTCTGCTCTGAGTCTTGACAGACACGGGGATATCCTCATCCCATGTGAAAGCTCTGAATGACTTTTTACTGCAACACAACAATAAAAGGTGTCTGATCCGTACTTCCGTTTAGCTGAATAGTCCTGACAACTTATAACCTTGCTGGCATGATGGAGATTTCTTCTTTGAGACACAGTGAAGAAGCTTTATCATGATCTTTTTGGGCAACAATGGCTTAACCGTTCAGTCATTAGAGTTGATACAGGAGCTGCTTCTTTTAACTGGGACTCATCTTGTCATGATTGGTTATAGAGTAAACCCAATATGCTGAACACACATGGAGGATGGATGAAATTGATAAATGAGTTATGAGTCTTAAATATTTCAGAGGAATACCTTGAAGGAGTCCGGTTTTCTCTTTGAGAGAGGAAACTGTTGGGTCCAGAGACAGTTTGTTCAGCAGAGTCCAATAATTGCTTCAGCGTCTTACTTCTGACTTTGAGGGCAGACCTTGATTTGAGTTTCCAGCTCTTAGCCAAGAGCTGCAGGGGAATCCAGAGAAGAGTCTTCAGGTTTGGCTCACGAGGGCAGGCTCGGCAGGTTAAGCTCATCCAGAGCTTCAAGGAGAGACAGGATTCCTGTGAGGCAAAAACAAGGAAGAGTTAGAATCTTATCTCAACAGGAGATAGCAAAGATTCTCAGGTTTACTAGGCTCAGGTTGCTAACCAAACTAGATCAACACTGCGGCGTTGAAGCAAGGTCTGAAGGCAGGTTATATAGTGCTGGGTCTCTGATGATGAGATGCGCCACAGCTGTGTTGGAGGCTCGGCTCAGGAGGACCCACGGCGCACTCTGCTGGAGGAAGGTGGTACAGCTTCAGATCCCAACACATCTATGCGATGCTGACAAGCTCTCTCAACAGTACAGCATTACAGTTCACAACATCACAACGACAGCTGCAGGGGAATAACATCAATTTAATAAAGCTCAGTGAAAATAGAAGGTGATGAATAGTAGAGGAACTTGTTTGAATGATTCTCACCACATGATGCCAACTGGAAAAAAAACACATCAAGAATTTTCAATCAATTGTCGTTTTTAAACCATAAGACCNTGAATGATTCTCACCACATGATGCCAACTGGAAAAAAAACACATCAAGAATTTTCAATCAATTGTCGTTTTTAAACCATAAGACCTTTCTGGATGCAGCGCTCTCTGCTAACCAGAGGTTGTGGCTGTGTTTCCCCGACCAATATGCTTGGACTGCCCTCAGGCCATGAATTACTGCTCTCCTGCAATGCATTTGGGCCTCCGTCCAGCACTACCTTCCACTAGCACATTTAGCTGTCAGTCATGTCCTTGGCCTGCTCAGTAATGGCTTCCAGTGGTGATGTGACTCTGAGGGTAGATAGAGTGATCAGACGGTGACAATTTATCAAGATTATTGTTTATTAGCTTAGCAGATGTCCCATCATGGTGGTCCTTCAGTTCAAACACATACACAAGCAAGTTCACACATAAATGTTTTTTCTTTTTAATTGAAGATGATAAAGATATGTTTATTTTTGTACATTTTCACTAAAATTAAAATGCATTTTGTCATGGAGACGAAACGGCACTACCATGCATGATGCTCAGGTTTCAGCAAATGCTCACATTAAGTTACCTCAGTGCTCATTCATTGAAGTAATGGTGGTGATCTAGTAACATCTGGTTCCTGTGAGCAGTTTGTGACATGATACCAGACGGCTGCTTGTCCGGCAGCTAGCTGACTGACGCATGCACAAAGGGACCATTGATACGGTCGTGCAGAGATGAGGGTAAAATTGATCTAGCACACGTTTCACACTCTAGCAGCGCTGCTACAGCCTGCCCAGAGAGCATGTCTGTAACATCAGTGCATGACCTTTTTACAAGCAGACTCAGCACTACGTGGCATGCATGATTACAGCCTCCGGTTTTCCCATTGATAGAAACATAGATCTAATCACAGTTGGTTGCAATGAGACTATAAGTGAATCTTCTTCCATTTTAGATGCAGCAGGTAAAGAAAGATCATGTAAAACATAATTGACAGAAGGCTCCAGCTCAGTGTGAATTCACACTTCTGACATGTGCTGAGTTATGTTCAGTCCTGCCTTCATTGTTTGTTATAGAAGGGAGGAAATATTCTGAGATTGATGTCTGGACGAAGCAAAACCAATGAGATTGACGATTGTTGTTGTGTTTGTAGAAGTTTTGCAATATGTCCTGGGTTTTGAAATTCGATTGCTGTGTGTGGTTCGTGTCAGGAAAATTAAACATGTAATTAGACAGAGACAACAGTTTGATTAAACACATCTTATAACCCACTTTGCCCTGATTCTGCAGATTAAGCCTCCTGCTGAGTAATTAACTCACTCTATGGAAAACCTAATTGTTGGAAATATGAAGGTTACACTACTTGCAGGAAGTTTTTGCCAATGTGTCATCAGGGCACACTTAACTTAAGGTTTGGATGTGCTTATTGACTTTATATTTAGTCAGAGGCATGTTTTTTAATAGGACACATTAATTTGTTTGGAATAAATTATTTTATGCTCTCAAAATTACTTGTTTTCACTGAGAGAGTGAGAGTTCTCTGCCGACTGAGAACCAGCAGAGGGGAAGTTTACCTTAATTAGTTTATTGAATTTATGATCTATTTTTATAAAACCCCTATGAGCAATGACCCAGTGTCACATACTAAGACATGGATTTTAATAACGGGGCATTCTACATTAAAAAGGTAGTCGCTTTCTCCCTGTTTTTTCATTCATAAAACAATCAAGTAGGAAACCACATAAACAGTGAACAAATATCTAAAGTTTGGACAGTTTTTGACCAGACAAAGCATTAAGAGGTATATTCTTAGAGTTAGAGTTAAAGTTAAAGTAATGTCAAG